TGTACATAAATCTATACATAATGGTGTCCATAATTACACGTGGCACTGGATTCAACCATTAATTCAAATCTCACACTTTCACATCAACAACAGGATTTTGTCCACATCACATTATGGACACTATTATGTACATATAGACTTTTCCTACAATTTAACACCCTTACCTTACGTTACGTGCCTTGCACTCCGGCTTTGTTTTTTCTTAAAAGTCCAACACCCATCGCGTAAGATTATAAGAGCCATAATATTAAAAAAATGTTATCTTAAGGATAGACAATAATTGGCCTCTTTTCCTTTTTGGCCATCTTATAGAATACTCTTAGAGTTGGCTTTTTGTGTTTTTCAAAAGTACTATTTTAGTATTTTTAAAGTTATGTAATGCAATTAGAAATTTAGCCTTTATTTGATTCAAATTATTTTCAAAATACATTTTTTTTCTTCTTTTCAATCACACATTTTTCAATAAAATAATATACACGCAAATTTAAAATTTTTCATTATTTTTTAATCACACATTTTTCATCAATTTACTATTTCAAAATATATTATTACAATAAAATAGGGCTCAAACAAACTCTTTTAACTTTTTCGCCACTAATTTGAGTAGAAATTGGTCATCAATGTTACACGGTAGTTACATAATCAGACCTCAACAAAGTTATCTAAAAGTCGGTCAAATTGAACATTGAACGTATAAACATCTAATTTTATATCAAGTATTATTTTTTCTTATTTTTATTTGTGACTAGAAATTTGAAATGAAGCGATTTTTAACAATAATTTTATATGTGCAAATTATGAATGATGTGGCAAATCAGTGCTTTAAGCTACTCAACCGTGCCTCCAAGTTGTTGATTGGAATGGAATTTAATGTGACGAGTTTGGTTGGTTGTCCAAAGGGCTATCTGATTCGATCAATTGTCTAAGTCGTAGCGCTCTGTGCACGTACTCTTCTTCTATGAGCGAGACTCTATCCAAACCTGTCATTCGTTGGACGATGCCTTATTTTCTATAAACAGTCCACCACAAAAAGATGAACTCGCGCGAGGACCTCGATTCTCATTAGGAGGTCGAACCAAGGACATATGGAAGTCGGGGCTACCCCGTATCACGTGAGGATAATTAAAATTATTCATTTTTTCTTTTTTGAATTTTTACTGGAGTCTATAAATGACCAGCCAATGGATATTTGGGGAGCAATTAAAGGTTGAATAAAGAGAGGCCGCGTGAGTGAGTAGTCATTTCCTCTGTTCTCACATTTCAGTTACAGATCACCCACTACTCCTCCCATAAATCCTACTCTCTCACTCTTCTTCTCAAATATCTATTTGTCTTTGTGTTTTGCAGTTTGTGAGGTGGGTCTGGTCCCCATTCTGAATACCCTGGATTGGAAGGAGAAAATCTCTGATACTTTTGCTGATTTTGATTGTGATGGCTTCTTCATTCACCGCAAACCCCGATATGAACTTGAATCCATTGCGCAAAACGCGAAAGAAAATGGGGAAGGAAACCCAGTCCCAAATGAATACAACAGAGAAAATGGGTCGTGCTAGATGGGGAACCGAAACGGAGCAAAAGATCTACGCATCGAAGCTCGTGGGCGCTCTCCGCCATCTCCGCCGCCCCGAATCCCCGTCTCCCTCCGCCTCGGGTCGTGCTGTACGTGAGGCCGCCGACAGAATCCTCGCCGTTTCAGCTAAGGGAAGGACTCGCTGGAGCCGGGCTATTGTCACGGGTCGACTCAGCCTCAGACTCGCTCAGATCAATAAGAAACACAAGAAGATGTCAAAACCGACAACTGGTGATTCCACGTCGAAGAAACGGGCCTTCAAGAAGAAACTGCCACCTGTGCAGAGTAAACTGCGGATTTTAGGCCGGCTAGTTCCCGGTTGCCGGAATCTTTCATTGCCTAACCTTCTGGAAGAAACAACTGATTACATTGCGGCTCTGCAAATGCAAGCCAACGCGATGACTTTTCTCACTGAACTCCTCACCAACGGCAGCTCATTAGCCGCTTCGTCGGATCGGCCCGGCTCGGATCAGTAGGCAATTAGTCATGTTGGGATTATTTTGTTTTTATTTTCACTATTTTATATTAATTTTTGTAAAAGCACTATGTTACTAAATGGGAAGTAGTTATATTTTGCCTAAATTATGTACATGTTGCCTTATTTTCACGAGGGTGTTCTACAATAAATTTTTTATTTTGACATGGCATCGAATTATTTCACTTCTGTTTGACAATCATTATTTGGATAAAATAGAGTTTTAAAAAGTAATTCTTCGAAGAATACGTGGTTAAAAATTATTTTAAAAAAATTAAATTTACGTGTTAAATATTTTATTACGTAAACGTGTGGTTAAAAATAGGCCGGTAAAAAAAAGGTTTTGAAATAATTGACGTTGGATTTGGGTATTGTCTTTATAGATTTTGTACGTTCAACTTCTGATTTTATTTCATGGTTAGAATCCAATTTGAGTAGCTGAATTATCACATTCAATGAAGTGGCCCGCTTGTTTATTGTCACTTGTATACACGATTCAACTGTCATTGTTGAAAATGTATTGGAATGCGTAAACAGGCTCACGAAGATGTATTGATACATGACAGGCTGGAAGGATTTGTGAGGGAAATTTAGTGGTGGCATTGAGGTCAGGGAGAGGGCTGTCGAATGGAGGTGTTGAAAAATCATGGAAATGAATGTTGGTTGTGGCCGAAAGGTCCCAAACATGGACTCGAGCCTTTACCCGGCGGTATGTCGACGAAGTGGACAGGTATGTCGTAGGCAGAGACAAGGCGGGAGAGGTGAAGAAGCTGGTTGAGATGGCCTTGTGCTGGAAGAGGCACTATCACCAATGCGACATCAGCCACTTCCATAACATTTTGGACACCATTTTCTTGGCTATGGTTTCCAAAGTTATAGCCAATAAAAACAAGGATACTCACTAGGAAAAAGACAAATGTGTGGCCCTGTACACCAAGCAAAATCCTACTTTGGGTTTGTTTCAAGAATCCCTTCATGTCATTTTCACATTCATCTTCACTTATTCAATGGATATATTTAAAGTGGGATAGATATACAAAAATTGTGTGTATATATAATGTTTAAATGTATAAATTTAATAATGATACTATTGGAATGTGACGTGGTTGAAAATAATATTTTTTTTTAAATTTTAATAGGGATATATATGGAGTAGAATAAATATATAACAATAATGGATGTAAATAACGGTACCAAATGAAGTACTCTTTTCTAGGTATTTCAGTAATATGAATTTTGCTATTTTAGGTGCTTTGCATGTGATAATTATTGGTGCTGGATAATATCATTTCACTTTTATGGCTGAACCCAACAGAAAAATAAAATGTATGAAACATGCACGACCTGTAACTAGGAGGAAAATATAGGGGAGAAGGGTACCCCCACAGCTTTGGAAGTTGACAAAATCCGCAAAACAGAGCCTAATAGCCAAAAGCCGTCTGTCATGTGCTACATTTTCAGGCAGCCCCACCCACTTATGGCACATGTGAGAGGTGGTGAAAATTCAAACATTTCTATTTTGACAATGAAATATGCTTTAGCTTTTCTATATCATTCAACTTTTTCCATGAATACACTTATATGGTCTAGGATAATTGTAGCGTCAACAAATCATTTCTATTGATGGTACATATTTTGTTTCAGAGTTGATTGCTCTCGTGAAATTAGTCGATGGTCCAAAATGCAGATTCCTTCCCCTTCACTCCCTCCAAACGTGTCGATCATTCACAATATGTATTGTAAAAATTGATCGTCTCACATGCTTCACGTACAATCATGGCTAATCAGTCATTCATGATCGTAGAATTTCTCACATATGAACTCACCATTGATAGAGAAGGGACATGGGAATACGTAAAAACAAACCCCCTACCCCCTTCTTTCGCTTTTAAGTATCAACATGTGTGCCGACTTCACTATCCCAAACAAGATTGAGATTCCAAGAGCTAAAGTAGTTTATGATATTGTTGAATGAAGGACCACATGTTACCCATGTTCGAACTCCATTCTTTAAAAATTCATTTTCCTTTAAACTCATTTTCAAGCTTACATTCACTCAATAAAATAACTTTACACTTTAAAAAAATAATAATAATAACTATTACGAAATCTATTTTTCCAAAAATTGGGGGCTTAAACAAAACCATAATGTTATATTGTGTAGGCTTTGTTGGACCAACACAACAACTTATAATGTGTGCACTTTGTTTCTTTACTTTGGCATGTCTAAAGCTTTTATGTATAATCCCACGTGCATTCATTTGACTATTATGAATTAAGTCATAGAACACGATGTCTTCTAGTATCATAACGGTTAGCATATATTGTTTATGGAATGTCGATTTCTCCTTTAAATAATATGAAGACACTTACTATTTCAGATTATTGGAATAGAATTAAAAAATAATCAAGATGATCACAGGGAGGGGGGAGAGAGAGAGAGATCATTTTTGGTGTTCGAGCCCATCGACTTTAAATGTGTCCTTGAAACAAATTTGCTATCTTCAAGGATACATTATGGACGTAAGTAATATTCTCTCAAGAGAGAACAAATGTAGTCTCTTATGCAAGCAACACAACAATCGCTAAAAGTTCCAAATGTCATACTTATGTTTTATACTCAGAAATGCAGAAGTAGAATATAGAGATAGTATGGATAATTGCAAATGAATGGCGTGATTTTTCTAACAAAAAGATAAGTTATTTATAGAATTTTTGGCCATTCGAACAACCCAAAAGCCTCTTCAAAATAGAGGTAAATGTTCAAACAATCTTTCTAGCGTCCATACCACAAATAGACATCGGTTATAGTCATTCACAAATGTCATTATAGAAAATAGACGTCAGTTATTACCGTTTGAACTAAAAAAATTAAATAAATTTTCTTGAAAAAAAGGGGATATATGAAAGGTAAGGACTAACACCCACACTTACACCCGAACTGAATCCAAGCCCGAACCTCGGACATGCAAGTGTCGAGCCGATTAGAAGATGACTGTGCGTTTGTAGCTTGATCTCAATAGTATCTAGGTCATCACACTCTCCTAAATATTGGAACCATTTAGGTCTCAAACTTAAAGGCCAAACTTGCACCTTATAAACCAAATATTTTCTCATTAGTTTTTCTGTGGGATAAATGTTAAAACAATCTTATCAAATTCTTCACCTTTCCAGCTTTCAAGTGGATAACTTTGAAATCAAATTTTTCATTCAATTCTTAATTATTTTTGACATATAAATATATCACATTATTAATCTCGCATAGTAGAACATGAATATACTTAGTCCCGTTAAATTTGGAGTTTGGATTCCAATTAAATTATAAGCTCAATGCAGCCCAAAATCAAAATAATTTCTAACAATCTCACAAATGAATGAAATATATATATCCCTTGTAAAAGATTACTGGATTTACTTGGTCAATCAGTAACAAGCTACTTTAAATAGTCAGACGTTCATGTAAACCTATACGATATAAGTTACACAGTTTATTTCAAACACAGTTGGTTCTCACATTTGTATTCATTTTGACATTGGACACCACCTAGTTCATTTTTTTATGAGAATTCATCATCACACTATTCTCATAGGAGAGGCTCCTTTCACCACATAGATGAACTCCATAAAGAATATTTTGCTATATTTCGCTTGGACCCATCAAGATATAGAAATCATTAAAAATATAACTTAACCGGATTCTCACGGCAGTTAGGCACTACCTCATCATAGAAATAGATAGGAGTAATAAATCCCCACATTTCATACTCAGTTTTCATAGTTTTGTTGTCCCATTGAACCCAGGCTTTTGGATATCTAGTTAACAAAGTTGGTTGCCACTATGAAACTCTTGGGTACTTTATTGATTATAACCACATCCACTCAGTGAACTTTCTACTTGATTTCTTATCAAACATTTAGTTAGCAGATTCGTACTATTCTCTTTAGATTTTACATAATCAATAGAGATAATGATAGTAGATTGCAACTATCTAAACAGTAGATAATAATAGTAGTTAGCAAATCCACAATACTCACTTTAGATTTCATATAATCTATAGAGATAATTTTATTTTATAATTTATTATAGTATAATTGTTGCACGAATAAATCATTCCAATTGACGTTACATGTTCTATTTCAAAATTGACCGCTGTCGTAAAATTAGCCGATTGTCCAAAATAGAGATTCTTTTCTCTCCACTCCCTCCAAATGATTCGATCATGCATGACATGTATGATAAGAACTACTTGTCTTCCATACTTCGTGTTCTATCAAGACTAATTAGTCATTCATTATCGTAGAATTTCTCATCTTTGATCAGCCTATTGGTAGATACGGGAAATGTTAACATTCATTTAGTAGACATCGAGTGTAGCGCAGAAAATGCCAAAATAGATGTCCCCCTCTTTCACGTTAAGTATCGACACGTGTACCGACTTCACCATTACAAAATTAATTATTCAAGATTGAGATTCCAAGAATGAGCTACATCACCATCACAACTACGATTTTTAGAGCTAAAGTAGCTTATGATAGTGTTGAATGGAGGACCACATATAATGTTATATTGTGTGAGCTTTGTTGGACCAACACAACAACTTATAATGTATGCATTTTGTTTCTTTACTTTGACATGTCTACAGCATTTATGTATGAGCCCATATGCATTCATGTGACTATTGTGAATAAAAGTCAGAGAACATAATGTCTTCTACTATCATAATGGTCTGCATCAACTCAGGAAAAAAAAGGTTGAAGTTATTATCAACTACGTTATTAGCGGTGGCAAAAAAGCTCGGAGGCTCGGACGGCTCGACTCTGAAAAAGTCCGAGCCGGGCCCGGTTCGGGCTCAGTGGAACCGAGCCCAGGCTCAGGCCGAGCCCCACTTTGGTAGGCCGAGCCTCATTTTTTTTGGATGAGCTCGGCTCGGCTCGGCTTGGCTCGGCTCGGGCCTAAAAAAACTCGGGCTCGGCTCGAGCTTTTTTTTTCGACTCGACTCGTTGACATCGCTATACGTTATAGAACACTCAAGGTATGTTTCAGTACAAATGATTGAATAGTATTGAATGTTAAAAATAAAATAAAAAATCTTGTTCACTATACGATATAGTCATATCCGATATATATAAAAGAGATACCTAGTGTATGGTAAATAAAACATAAATATTCTTCAAAAATAATTCATAGAATAATCCTTAATCAAAGTTGGCACTATAAAATTGATATTTATGGGCTCGTTGCACGTATCACTCTAATTTTCTCACTGCTACTCTCATATTTTTATAACAAGGAATGATATAAACAACTGCAATTTGATTTAATTTTATCACGAGTTTTCCAATATTTTTAGGGAAAATAATTATGAAAACTAAAAAACCACATTCTAAAATGTCTAAAAAATAGCGTTAAGGATTGAGGCGTTTACAAAACATTCCGCACAAAAGAAACGCGTAAAAAAGTTAAAACAAGAATAAAACCCGCTATTGCTATTTCACTGCATGGATTGGTTAATAAAATTAAAATCATATAATCATGTAATGCCAAACGATTGCATCCACCGTGCTAAATTTAGTCTTTATCCAAATAAATTTTGGATGTAACAGACGATTCTATTCTGCTTGACCTTACATGATTTGTCTATTTTATTGAAGCTCCAATTCCATGGCCATCTCCCCAGAACCTAACCAAACCCCTAAATCTTACAAGTATATATGCATGGGCGGATCTAGGCATGGGCTGACCTGGACTACAGGCCGTGCTCGCCCTAGCCCAAATCTACTTACTCTCCTTAATTTTTTCTTTTGGGAAAAAATCACAAATACCTTACCTATATATAAAAATTCACTTTCTACTACTTTACTAAAATTAAAATTGAAATTGCCACATAAATAAAAAAAAAAAAAAAGAAAATCACTATTACTATAATCAGAACTTTCCATATTTTCATCCATAACTGAAATTGATAGTGCACAATAG